GGGACGCGGCCTCAGCATGGCTGGAGAAGCGGTGCGTCAGTGTGCGCCTGGGATCCAAAACCGGGCCGCCAGTAGCGGAGCACGCGCACTTAACCGCTAAGCCACGCGGATCCAGCATTTCTAACACTTTAGTATAGATTGTGGAAAATGTAGAAATGACAGTCTCAGTATTAGCGTTAGAGTTTCCAGGAGTCAGATAAACAAGTAAATTGTGGAAAAATGCAAATACAGTATTTGTATGTGTGATGTAAATGGAAGCTTTCTCTTTCTTTCTTTCATAGGGAGGAGAGTGGCAGCTGCATTGGAAACCTGATTAGAACAGAACACGTGAGAACAGTTTGTGATGGACAGTATTTACATAATTTCCAGCGTAAAAATGGTGCCATACCTATCACAAATCTAATGGCAGGTGACAGAATTATTTTAAGTGGAGAAGAGAGAACACTGTTTGCTTTGTCTAGGGGATATGTGAAGGAGATTAACATGACAACAGTAACCTGTTTATTAGACAGGTAATGAAACCTTCCTTTTTTGCAGGGTGGGCAGGTAATAGCTTTATTGATATATAAATCACATACCATATAGTTCATTCATTTAAAGTGTACAGTTCAGTGGTTTTTAGTACATGCACACAGTTATGCAATCATCACCAAAATCAATTTTAGAACATTTTCAGCACTCCAGAAAGAAACTCTGTACCCTTCAGCAGTCACTCCCCCAGCTCTCGGTAATCACCAGTTTCCTTTCTGTCTCTATAGAGTTGCCTGTTCTGAACATTTCGTATAAGTGGGATTGTACAATATGTGGTCTTTTGTGACTGGCTTTTTTCACTTAGCATACTGTTTTTGAGGTTCATCTTTGTGTAGTAGCATATATCAGTACTTCATTCCTTTTTTGAAAAAATGGAGGTAAAATTCACATAACATTAAATTGACCAGTAACCATTTTAAAACGTACAGTTCAATGCCATTTAGTACATTCACAGTATTGTGCAAGCAGCACTTCTATCTAGTTCCAAGACGTTTCATCACCTTGGAAGGAAACGTCGTACCCGTTAAGTAATCACTCCCTTCTCCCCTCTCCCTCCAGCCCCTGGCAACAGCTAATCTGCTTTCTGTCTCTGTAGATTTATCTATTCTGGATATTTCATCTAAGTAGAACCATAAAGTATGTGACATTTTTGTCTGGCTTCTTTGACTTAGCATAATATTTATGAGGTTTATCCACACTTCAGCATTTATCAGTACCTCATTCCTTTTTATGGCTGAATATTCCGTTATGTACATAGACCATATTTGGTTCATTCCATTCACCAGCTGATGGACGTGTGAGTTGTTTCCACTTTTTGGATGTTATGGCTAGTGTTGCTATAAATATTCACATATAAATTTTTATATGAACATATTTTTATTTCCCTTTGTATGTATCTAGTATTGGAATTGCTGGGTCATGTGCTAATTTTGTGTTTAACATTTTGAGAAAGTACCAAACTGCTAACCTTTTGTTTAGTACTTTATGTTCCATAGTGCTGCTGTGGACATAATCTTATCTAATTCTCACAGCTGTGTGTACAGCAGGCAGAATAAACACCCTGTGTTAGCTATAAAGCTTATTTCTCCTTCTTAGCACTCTCAGCACTCAGCATTTCATTCTTTTTTTTTTTTAAGAAAAATTTTTTTCATTTATTATTGTTATATAAAGTATATTTATCTCAATTAATACAAAGTAAGTTGATTTAAAGAAATTTTTTTGTGTGTGTGTGAGGAAGATCAGCCCTGAGCTAACATCCATGCTAATCCTCCTCTTTTTTTGCTGAGGAAGACTGGCTCTGAGCTAACGTCTATTGCCAATCCTCCTCCCTTTTTTTTTCCCCAAAGCCCCAGTAGATAGTTGTATGTCATAGTTGCACATCCTTCTAGTTGCCGTACATGGGACGCAGCCTCAGCATGGCTGGAGAAGCGGTGTGTCAGTGCACGCCCGGGATCCGAACCCGGGCTGCCAGTAGCAGAGCGCGCACACTTAACTGCTAAGCCACAGGGCTGGCCCCGAAAAATATTAAGTAAATAGAATAGTTGGTATGATAATTTGTGGTAGAGACTAATATCCATGTTTACCAATATCCATATTCCCCTCTTCCTGCACCCCCAACGTTCCTTGCATTTAAGTGCAGGCATGTGTCACCGTTTCTTAATGGGTGGAGATCAGCAGTTGGGATGCAGTGACCTCTGGGTAACTGCAGTGGAAATGTCTAGGCTTGTTCTCTGCCCCTCAGTAAGCCCAGTTAAGCTATAACCAACCCTAGTCTGAGTTTCATGATATGAGAGTGTGAGCCATAATATTTCTCTTGTCTGTTAGGATTCCGTGCAGTCCCTTACAGTACTTATTTAGTGCCTACCATGTATTAGGTGCTTTGCAAATCCTTGAGGAATTTATAGTCTCGTGGGGATACAGATATATAAACATATTTTCAGACTAACATGACAAGTGTTTGAATTGATGGGAACACAGAGAAGAGGCATTTAACCCAATTTTAGGAGGCTCAGGGAAGGCTCTTTGAAAGAGGTCATTCTGGATCTTCATCCTGTGGATTAATAAGTTAGCCTGATGAAGCAGTGTGAGAAGAGTATACAGGACAGGGAACATGATGCGTGAAGGCATGATGGTGTGATAGAGTATGAAGCAGAGTAATCAGGAAAATGCAGGCAATTATTTCTGAAATGTAAAAGATAAGGGAGTGATGGGAGAGATCAGGTCATAGAAGGTCGTATACACGTGTTAAGAAGTTTTGACTTATAATATTCAGCTGTATTAAAGAATTTGAAACAGAAGAATGATAATCAGATTTGCATTTTTCTGTAGATACATTGTAGAGAATAGAGTTAATTAATGGAAGCAAAACTGAAAGCAAAGAAACCAGGAGACTGTTATAGTGGCCCAGGCTAGAGGTGACTGAGGGCAAGGTAGTTTTGGCAGAGAGGATGAAATAACTTTGAGAAGTATTGAGAAAGTAAAATTGGCTGGCATTTGGATCCCAGTTGCATATGTGGGTTGGGAAAAGGATGAAGGAGAGTGAAGGATCGAGCTGCAGTGTAGGTACAAGTGCCATTAACTAAGATCAGGACCACAGAAGGAGGATCTGGTTCAGTAGGGACGAAGACTTGTTCAGTTTTGAATGTATTGAGCTTTCATATCCTGGGTTTTAACCAAGTGGAAGGATCTTACTGCCTGCTGGATATCCAAACCTGAAGCTTGGGTGAGGAACCCGGTGGGAGAGGAATGTGAGGTTAGGCCTGAAGATGTAGATTTGGGATTTAGAGCCATATGAGGGCATGGGACCCAAGGGGAAATGACAAGAAAGAGCAGTACAGAGGACTAGGGAAGGGACCCTAGGGAATGCCAGGGTTTTAGGGGCTGATAGAGGAGTGGGAGAAGGCCTCAGGAAAGAGACCTGTACTCCAGGCTGGAGGAGGGAAAGCCGTGTGCTCAGCATCCTTCTGTGGTGGTGAGTCCAGGTTAAATTGCAAGGCCAAGTGAATTGTCAGCAGATGTGGTAGGTTCCTCATTGCTAACTGCTTTGACCTTTGTGCCTTGTGCCCTCCCCTTCTCCCTTTTCCTGCCAATCCAGGGCAAGTATGAATTAGGGGCTGGTAATCATTTTAATAGCTATTCTGGCCCCTTTACTCTTAACAGACAGCAACGTATTTCTTATACAGACCAACTATGTTAAATGAAAAACATTCATGTACATTTGTTTTGCTGTTTTAGGAACTTGTCAGTACTCCCGGAATCAACTTTGTTCAGATTGGACCAGGAAGAAAAAAGTTGTGATATTGATACCCCGTTAGGAAATCTTTCTAAATTGATGGAAAACACTCATGCCAGGTTTGTAACACTGAATTAATCTGAATTTTACCCCATTTTCCTAAGGAATATTACTAAAAGCATTTTTTTTTCAGCCAAAAACTTCGAGATTTAATCATTGACTTTCGCGAACCTCAGTTTATATCCTACCTCAGTTCTGTTCTTCCACATGATGCAAAGGATACAGTTGCCAGCATTCTAAAAGGTATGCTGTAATCAGCATGTCTGCTTCCATTAATTTTTCTTGATTCTCTTTATAATTTAATCTAAAGTGTAGTTTGGTGTTTTAATAATTTATTAAACGTGCAATTATATTCTTTAAACGAAGTCTCTTTGGAAGTAGTTTACATATATCCTTTCACACATTACATTTTCTTACTTTGAAAAGATGTATTGAAGAACAGACTTGAATAGAGACTGTTTTTCTTATAAAATAGTTAATTTCCTCATTGAAATTCAATACTCTTTTTCCCACTGTTTTTAAATTTAAATGTAGGTTTGAACAAGCCTCAGAGGCAAGCAATGAAAAAGGTACTCCTTTCCAAAGACTACACCCTCATCGTGGGTATGCCTGGGACAGGAAAAACAACTACAATCTGTACTCTTGTAAGTTTATTATTCTTTTGCTTAGAAACTAAATGTTTAAATCAGCTTCTACTCAGTTCAGGGAATTGATGTTTGATATCAAAAGGGCTCAATTTTAAATCCAAATGCCTTTATTTCAAATTAACCTTTTAGAATGACATGAGAAATGGAAGAGCTAAATCACAAATAGTTGTAATCATGCTGTACATTTCTTGCATTTAGGATTGTCTAAGATCTCTTTCTGTTGGTGGTATATGTATCGTTGCATGTTTTCCTTCTCTTTAAAAAATGATAAATTAGGGGCCGGCCCTGTGGCTTAGCGGTTAAGTGCGCGCGCTCCGCTATTGGCAGCCTGGGTTCGGATCCCAGGCGCGCACCAATGCACCACTTGTCTGACCATGTTGAGGCCGCGTGCCACATACAGCAACTAGAAAGATGTGCAACTATGACATACAACTATCTACTGGGGCTTTGGGGAGAAAAAGGGAAAAAAAAAAAAAGGAGGAGGATTGGCAACAGATATTAGCTCAGGGGCGGTCTTCCTCAGCAAAAAGAGGAGAATTAGCATGGATGTTAGGTCAGGGCTGATCTTGCTCATAAAAAAAAAAAAAAAAAGAATAAAAAATGATAAATTATACAGAGGCAGTTGAAATAGATTTTTCTTGGATTTTTTTTCATGTCAGTAAATTTTTGAGCAGTCTTAGAATAATCAAAATGATGGTAGCAAATATTTATTGATTGATACTGTGTGCAGGCACTACTCAAAGTTTATATGTATTCAGTTTCATTATCACTAATATATTATGAACATATCATTAGTAACAGGTCATGTAATTTTCATAAAACATTTTGGCTTTATAATTTAAAAAAAATTACTTGGCTCAGCTCTTAGATATGCTTCCTATTGTTTTCTAATTCTATTTGAAAAATATAAGCGTGTTAAAAATTATCTGGAATCAAAAGTAATGACTGTTTTCCTTTCTTTTATTCATTATTAGGTAAGAATTCTCTATGCCTGTGGTTTTAGTGTTTTGTTGACCAGCTATACACACTCTGCTGTCGACAATATTCTTTTGAAGTTGGCGAAGTTTAAAATAGGATTTTTGCGCTTGGGTCAAACTCAGAAGGTACATCCAGATATCCAGAAATTTACAGAGGAGGAAATTTGTAGATCAAAGTCCATTAAATCCTTAGCCCTTCTAGAAGATCTCTACAGCAGTCAAGTAAGTACAATTATTGTATAATAATACTGACAGTAATTTCTGTAGCCAGAATGAGGGGAGAAATGGCACTCTGGGAAATTCAGTTGCAATGACCAAATTTGCATGTGATTGATTTATATAAATCACAGGACCAATTTATTAATTTATAGTTTGCTGTTTGCTTCTGAACTGAGGTTTCTGGTTTATTATTCAGGGCTCCCATCTTCTAGTTTAAAATATCCTAGTAAAGAAAAACTGTTTCTTTCTACTCCCAGCACTTCTGACACTAACTACTGGAGTTAGTGTAGACCTCACAGGTTAAGGGTTCAGTCCCACAAGACTGCCTCCCCACTTCCGTTCTCAATTGCAAGTCCAGGCCTCCTGTGCTGCTGAATAACCAGCTATAAATTGGGGTTCCCGTGATGCCCTCCTTAGATTCAATAATTTGCTGGAATGGCTCACAAAACTCAAAAAAGTGCTTTACTTACTATTACTGGATGTATTATATAGGATACAATTCAGGAACAGCCAAATGGAAGAGATGCATAGGGTAAGGTAGGTGGAAAGGGGCATGGAGCTTCTTTGCTCTCGCCAGGTGAACCACTGCCCCAGCACCATGATGTGTTCACCAACCCGGAAGCTCTTTGAACCCCTTTGTTTAGGTTTTTTATGGAGATCCCATCATGTAGGTATGCTTGATTAAATCATTGGCCAGTGATAATTTGTCTAATCCCCAGCCCCTTTCCCCTTCCTGGAGGTGGAGGGGTGGGGATGGGACTGAAAGTTCTAACTCTATAATCACGTGGTTGGTTCCTCTGACAGTCAGCTCCCATCTTCTCTCATTAGTGTAAACTCTGGTTTGGTTGAAAGGGGCTTATTATGAATATCAGAAGGTGTTCCTCTTACCCTTATCACTCAGGAAATTTCAAGGGTTTTAGGAGCTCTGTGCCAAGAACCAGGAGGAAGACCAAATATATATTTCTTATTATATTACAGTATCACACCTAGAAATATACTAATACATAATCAAGATTTTTTTAGTGAGTTTGAATTAGAAGCAGTGGTACATGAACAGTCTTGTGATAGGTGTTTCAAGGCTTTGATATAGAACCTAATTTTTTTTTATTATTTACTGTCTGTGTGTATTTTTACTGGGAAGTCTTACCTGATATTTTTGTCTTTTTAAAAAAATCATCTAAGTTAGATTTAATAGGCTCTTCCTTCAACTCCTTGGTCTAATATCTATACCAGTTATTGAAAATTTTTGAAGTGGCTAAGATTTATGTCTGATTGACTTTTTTTAAATTAAACTTTTTATTTTGAGATAATTATAGATTTACATCCAGAGTTGTAAGAAAATAATACAGAGAGATGTTTAGCCTTTGACCAATTTTTGCAAAACTGTAGTGAAATATCACCACCAGGATGTTGACAGTGATACTGACACAGTCTAGATACAGAGTAGTTCCATTAGCGCAAGAATCACTCGTGTTGCACTTTTATAACTACACCCATTTCTTTCCTGCCCCATCCCCTCCTTAAACCCTGATAACCTCTTATGTGTTCTCCATTTCTACAATTTTGTCATTTCAAGAATGTTACATAAATGGAATCATGCAGTATGTAACCTTTTGGGATTGGTGTTTTTTACTTAGCCTAATACTCTGGAGATTCAGATTGTTGCGTGTATCAATAGTTTGTTCCTTTTTATTGGTGAGTATTCTTCCATTGTATGAATGTACCACAGTTTGTTTAACCATTCAACCACTGAAAAACATCTGGATTGTTTCCAGTTTTTGGCTATTATGAGTAAAGCAGCAATAGACATTCATGTACAAGGTTTTGTGTAAACATAAGTCTTCATTTCTCTGGGATAAATAAATGCTCAGGGGTGCAATTTTTGGGTCATTTGGTAGTTCCATGTTTAGTTTTTAAAAAATTTATCAAACTGTTTTCCAAAGCAGTTGTAACCAGCAATGTATGAGTGATCCTTGTCAGCATTTGGTGGTGTTACTATTTTTCATTTTGGACATTCTGATAGGTATATAGTGATACCTCATTGTGATTTTAATTTGCATTTCCCTAATGGGGAATGATGTTTTCATGTGCTTGTTTGCTATCTATATATCCTCTTCAGTAAAATGTCTCTTCGTGTCTGTTGCCTATTTGGATTTTTAAAAAAATTTTTTACTGTTGAGTTTTGAGAGTTCTTTATATATTCTAGGTATTAGTCCTTTATTGAATATGTAATTTTTCGATATTTTCTCCGACTCTGTAGCTTGTTTTTTCATCCTCCTCACAGGGTCTTTTGCAGCAGAAAAAGTTTTAATTTTGATGAAGTCCAGTATATAAATTTTTTACTTTTATGCATCTGGTGTCAAGTCTAAGAACTCTGTCTAGCTCTAGATGCTGCAAGTTTCTCCTGTGTTTTTTTCCTAAGAGTTTTATGCTTTTACATTTAAGTCTGTGACCATTTTGAGTTTACTTTTGTATAAGGTGTGAGATTTAGGTCAAGGTTCATTTTTTCCACCTATAGATGTCCAATTGCCATGGCACCACTTCTTAAAAAATCTTTTATTTCTCCATTGAATTGCTTTTGCACCTGGGTTAAAAAAATCCATTGGGTATATTTGAGTGATGCAAAAATTCTCAACAATATACTCACAGACTGAATTCAGCAGCATTTTAAAAGGTTTATACACCATGAACAGTGGGATTTATTCCCGTGACGCAAGAATCATTCAACAAATGAAAGTCAATCAGTGTGATACTCCATCCTTTCACTATTACCATGCTTATATCATTAAATTTGAAGTGACTTCCTTGTGGATAGCATATAGCTGGGTTATCTTTTTTATCCACTTTGCCAGTTTCTGTCTTTTAATTGGTGCCTTTTTTTTTTTT